TAATTAATTTTGCAATCATACTTAAGGTACCGTTGTACAGCGAGAGCATATCTGTACCTTATACTCTAAATAACTATTAATTTATTGAATTGTACATACTTTTATATTTTCCTAGCAGAACAAATGAATGAATATATTGTGCTAACGGTCATTGCTAAATCAAAGGAAGAAGAAAAAAAAAAAAGAAAGAAAAAATAATAACAATAAATATTTTATATATACTGTCTTTGATAAAAAAAATAATGGCCTTCTCATTCCGATTTATGCGTAGCTCCCAGTCTTGCAGCTATCTTTGAAATTGAAAAAGCTATGTATTAACACTATAAACTGGTTTGCCATGAATTGATATTAATTATTAATATACGATCATGTATGTAATATGCATAGATCTGAAATTTTAATAAGTTTATAAACTTGTTACGTATTCCTTTACCGGTCTCCCAAAAAATTTATTTTTCTATTTAAACGTAATGAAACGTAAACGCCTATGCGTGTTACTTTTCAACTACCTAGTTATTTCTTATTCATGGCACAAATTCATTTTATTCTGCATGAAATTTTTTCTATTTATCATCAAATATGAAATAAACAAGAGAATAGTAATAAGCAATATGGTTATTGCATTAATGAAGCAAGTTATAAATGAGCTCTGGATTCCGTACATACAACTTGGTTCCTGTGTTCACGCACGCACGTTATTGCACGCCGCAGCGATGGAATACTCGTGCTTGCGCTCAAACTGAGTGACAAGTACAAGGTACTGTCTACATTATATTCACATAAACTAGTCGAAGAATGTGACACTGACTACTTCAAAATGAATTTTGTTTAAATCAATATCAGCCCGCACCACTCCAGACCAAAATCCATTTTACATACATATATATGTATGTGTTTATTATTATTATTATTATTACTACTATTATTATTATTATCATAATTTTTATTCTTATACTTATTATTCTTATTATTATCATCATTTTTATTCTTATTCTTATTATTCTTATTATTCTTATTATGTATACATACATACATGTATATGTATTAACATAATGAATTGTATCTAATGATAGGATAGTATAATTGCTTACAGCTCAAAGTAGTGTTATCTATTGACAAATGCACTTCCATTATATATATATTATATA